GGACCTTAGCCGTTTTGGACCTTAAATAGGCCTTCCCGAACGACGTCGTTTCGGGAAGGACTATGTGTAATTAAATAATAGTTAAACCCCGTCCGAAGCCATTCCAACTTGTAAACTTTACATTCTAGTCACTAAATCAAATTTATAATACTTTTAATTCAGATCTTTAATTTTAATTTCATTTATTTTAGTCCTTTATATTAAAATAATATATTTAGGATAAATAATAGAATTAATCCCTTAATTTTAATAAATAATATTTTAATCCATAGTTTATATTTTTAATTTATTTTATTCTAATATCCGAATTTTAGATAATTTTATTTTAGTCACTAAATAAATAAAATAAAGAAATAGCATGTTTAATCCCTATAATTTTGATTAATTATGAATTAGGTTTTTAATTTTACTTTTACTATAATTTAGTCATTTATTTTAAATGTTTTCATTTATTTTACTGCTTTTAAATATATCGTTCTAGTTGTATTTTTATTATTTTAATTTTACTTGTTTATATTTTTAAATATTTTTATGTATTCATAAATATATATATAATAAATAAAAATTAATTTTTACAATAAATTATTTTAATATTTATTTTTCAATATCGAAGAAAATGACAGTCTTAATACAACTGGATGCCCTATTCTGGTATTTTAAAATTTAATAATTAATTTTTTTAAAATATTATTTAATTTAAATTAACATTTATCAATATCAAAGAAAAGAGCTGTCTTAAGGCACCTAGAAGCCCTTTTCAGATATTTTTAAATATTTTTTTTATAATTTTGAAATAATAGGATTATAAATTAAATATATTTTGGAATTTTTAATATTTTTAATAATAGAGACAATTTATAATTAAAAAGTACCAATTTTGGGCGTTGTAGGGGTGCTAATCCTTCCCTAAACGTAATCGACCACGAATCCCTTTTTATTATTAAAAAGAACGAATTTTTGGTTATAAACGCAGATCAGTTCATTTTTTAATTGGTGTTTTCTTAAAACTCTTTTAAAAAATAATTTTTAGGTATTCGACCTACCTGACCCAAAAGGCCGATGGCGATTCCCAAATTATTTTCAAAACCATTTATTCACATAAATTTTCCCGCCAAATTTAAAATTTTTGTGCCCGGACGAAAACCGGTTACGACAACTTCAAATACTACAAATCTTTTATCGTTGATTAGTTTATACCACTTACGTTTCAATTTTATCGATTTTAGTATTAACGTTTACTTTTAACTGTGATTATACCACTTTGCCGTTAATAATTTAACGACACGATGACATGACAGTTTCGTGCCGTGACATTATTGACGTGGATACTTCACCAAAACGACGTCGTTTCGATATAACTTTTTTTATGCTCAACAAACCCAAATCGATATCATTTTGCTTTAAAAAAATTATTGAAATATTGTGGTTGAAGGGATTTGACCCTATACCTAAATTGCAGTTAAGATTAATTCTAAATTTTTTAATAACTTTGGGATTAAACCTAAATTCTTCAATTATATTTTTCTCACTTCTTCTGCATATTCATCTGCAAAGTGCATACCCATTTTTTCACCTTCGGTTCAATAGCCATCCCTTGAAATTTTATTCTTTTAATTTGAACATTGATGGTAACAAGATGATGCCTTGAAATGCTTGAAAATCGACAAAGATGCATTGGACGTCGGAGATGGAGCCCGTGCCCTCAAATTCCTCACCAAAGCTCGTCCGCTTGATCTATCACTTTCCATCGATAATTTCTTATCAGCAGCTTCTGAAGCGAAATCCAATGATCGTTCGACCTGGAACCTCCTCCTGATTCTTCTCAATCCAAGTCGTCTGATAGACCCTTAATTCGTCGGAAGAACCCACCGTCTGGCTCGACTGCTTCTTCCTCCTCCTCACCGACGACTGCCGCAGATACGTACACCGAAGAGCAAATCATGAAGCAAATCAAGAAGAACAAGGATTATTATGAAATTTTGGGTTAGAGAAAATGTGTTCCGTTGAAGAAGAAGAGAGAAAATACAATTGGAAATTTTAGGTTTAGTACTTACGGTAATTAAAATTTTAGAATTAATCTTAACTGGAATTTTAGATTTTTAAAAATTTAATTGGAAAAAAAGTTAAAATACTTTAATGGTTAAGCATTAAGATCTATTTTCTTAGGTTGAGGGTTCAAATCCACTCAATCACAATATTTTAATATTTTTTTCAAACAAAACGACGTCGTTTTATGTTTATTGAGCATCAAATAATTGTGTTCAAACGACATCGTTTTGGTGAGAAAACTACGTCAGCAACATCATGACGCACAATTGCCAAGTCATTCGGCCCATTTATGAAATTATAGTGGTCTGGAGCAAATATACAAATTAAACCCTAATAACAAGTATAAAAAAATTGAATAATAAGAACAAACAAAACTAAATAAATTTGCTTGTAAATTGATTTTTTATTATATTTATTAAATTATCTAATAAATACATGAAATTTTAAATAGAAAATAATAAGAAATTTTATTAAACATCAAATTGCTCACACAAAACAAGCATGGTCCTTTTTTAAAGAGGTACATGTTAGATTTAACCTTCTTCATCTTATCAAGAATAATAAAAGAATAATAAAATGATACACTTAGTTATCTAATAAATACATTAAATTTTAAATAGAAAATTATAAGAAATTTTATTAAACACCAAATTACTCACACAAAACAAGCATGATCCTCTTTTAAGAGGATAAATGTTAGATTTTAATATTTTTCATCGTGTCAAAAATAATAAAAGAATAATTAAATGAAAAGTAAAAAAATAATTTAAAAATATCACATCAACATCATCGTTAATTTTCTAACGGTGGATAATAAAAGAAGAAACAAAGAACATGGGTTGGTTCAAGTGGTAAGTATATTGATATTGCTAAGCAATGACTCGAACTCGAGTCCTTGTGAATGCAAAAATCTTTGCTGGGAAATTCACCCAAAGCCAGGTATGCGAAGCGGGTCGGTCTAGTAAAGGCAAGCAATGGAATCGGGAGAGCAAAAAATGTAAGGTTAAATATGATTTTGAAAAAAATAATAGTTTGATGACCAAAACAAAATTAAAATATTAAATCGGTGACCAAATAAATCATTATCATTTTTTATTATATGTGAAATTATTTTTTTGGGTCTGGGGCTGGAGGGGGAGTTCTACAGTGCGACACCCTTAATATACGGCTAAAATAATAACAAAACCGGTAGAAAATTACCTAAAACATTAGTAATTCTACCTAAAGATTGTACATTAGCGGCATTTGTATAAAAAACGCCGCCAAAGAATGTACTTTAGTGGAGTTTGTATAAAACCGCCGCTAAAGACTATACTTTAGTGGCGTTTTTAGACAAACGCTACTATAGACTCGTACTTTAGTGGCGTTTTTAGACAAACGCCGCTATAGACTCGTACTTTAGTGGCGTTTTTATACAAACGTCGATATAGACTCGTACTTTAGTGGCATTTTTATACAAACGCCTCTACAGACTCGTACTTTAGTGGCATTTTTATACAAACGCCGCTAAAGACTCGTACTTTAATGGCGTTTGTGTTTACAAACGCCGCTAAAGACTTGTATTTTAGTGGCGTTTGTAATAGACTCGTCCTTTAGTGGCGTTTATATACAAACGCCGCTAAAGACTTGTACGTTAACGCTGCAAATTTACAATTTTTAAATCCCGACCCCCTTTTAACCTTTTTCATTTTTCATATTTCACCTATTTTTTCATTCCCATCGAAGCATTTCTCTTTAGAAATTTTCAATTTCTTTCTCTTTGTTTCAGTCATTAATAACAAGAAATTTCCCTCACCGTTAGTCTTGGAGCAAAGCTCCCATCCTCATCTGATAGCCATGGAGCCATTGAAAACCAAATCGGTAACCGTTCTAACACAAAAAGGGTTCCCTATTTCGATTAATTCGCAAAGCAAGGAAGCCCCCGTTTCAATCACAAAAAGGTAAGCACACTCTTTTATCTTATTCTTGGATCAACACAATCAATTTGCTGCATAATCCCAATTTGCTTCCCGTATTTACAATCCCATTTCTCTTGGTATTGAAATTCAATTTGCTTCATAATCCCAATTGCTCTCAATCTGAAATTCCAGTTCTTAACAAACCTAAGTTCAGTTTCCGCCTTAGGTTTACATTCGGCTATAGCTTCATGTTGATCCCAAATTCCAATTTTTAAATACCATACTGAAATAATTCTTCCGAACCATTATTTCACGAATTTTTTCCCCAATACCATTATCTAAAATAATTTGCCCACACAAAGGTAAGTTCTCATCAATTAATTGCAGTTTTATTCATTTAATCTGAACACACTCACAGAGGTAAGTTCCCACCAATTAATTGCAGTTTTATTCATTTAATCCGATTTTACGGTATCCAGTTCTACTCGATTCGTTCGTCCTACTGATTTTACATTTATCTTTTTTGATATATTTAAAAAATTTTCATTTATTTGTTTTTGATCGATTCTTAATATAAGAAGTATTTTATTATTTAAGTTTCTTTGTTAGAAATGTTGCCTGGTTCTGGGATTCGATTTGGCCAATGAGAAATTGAAGGAAGATGAATAAAAAAGAACTTTAACTTTAAATTTTAACTATAATCTGAACCATTTCTAACCATTCAAGTTCAATGATCTGTCACTTAGCTTTTTTAATTTAGTTAGGCGAGGCAGAATTTAACTATCTATTCTGAACACAACTTTGGTTTTGTGATTTTACAATGACGTGATTAATATATATTGGTAGATTGTACGAAGATTAACGGTGTGTTTTAAATAATCAAAAAGTGGTGGAGAGAATGAAGCCTGACATGTCTAACTAATTTTCAAGTTTCTAGATAATTTTCTGGAGTGGTTGAGACTGGAAATCTCGTCTTTTGTTTTAATCATATTTTGTTTACTTATTTATTTTATTTTCTCCCAATAATTAAATCTCTTTCTCCTTCTGGTGTAGATGGGTATGGCAGAAAACAATAATAAGATGGAGGATGGAACACTAGAAATTTGCATGGGTAACTTTCTTGCTTTATATCAGCTGCACGATCATTATAAGCAACTCGATTTACTTATGTTAAAATTAATGTTTCCTATATGATTTGAATATTCCGTTTAATAACAAAAGAGAAATTATTGATAACACTTTGGTTAAACTGCCACCTGTGTTTCAATAAGAAGGGATCTGTTGCATGAAAGAAGTGTTATCACTAATAACCATCTTTATTTTCTTGAGTTAATTGTAGAACATAGAACTATTTCGGAGTTGATGGGCCATTGGTAATCCTTGATAAAGTGAAGGCAAGTTCTGTTTCTCTCACTCATTATCTAGTAACCTATGTTGCTTTGAATCTTCACTTCGTGAAGTATCTGGGTTTGGTACCTGTATCCAAAGCATATATAGACATAGGAATGTTGACATGACCCTTTCAGAACCCTTAAAGTACATGGGAAATTTAGAAAAATAAACATACTCATGTCGAATACATACTTGTATCAGACACTTACATCCGATTCCAAGAAACATAGCTGGTACTGTTGTCAATCTTTTATAGTTTTGATTTCAACTTTTCTTCATTTGGGGGTTCATGCTTTTTACAGGGCCCTAAGTTTCAAGAAATAATTAATATTTGTTTAGGGGATGAAACTACTAGACGTGGTCAAGTCCTAGAAGTTGATGGGGAAAATGTTGTTGTTTAGGTAATTTCCTTCTTAGTTTCTTTAGCATTCCTTTATAACTATGAATTCATGTTATGTGTTCATGCCAAAAGGAATAATGCCAACTTCTTCACCATGAAATATTTGAGGCTTATATTATGGTGCAAGGTTTGATGCAGTGATTTCATTAATAGAGGATCTGTTTCTTCATAGTATACTCTACTTACGGGGCACTTTGGTTAGGTATTTGAAGGAACTTATGGAATCGACAACAAGTATACAATTGTGCAATTTACAGGAGAGATATGTAACCTCCTGTTTTTCCTATAACTAAGACAATCCTTATCTTGCATCAGTGGCATGCAAAATAGCTTAAACATTACAACAGATGCTGATACATTTTAGATGTTGACTTGTTTTTTAAATCTTGAGTTATCTGGTTCTGTAATAAATTAGAGGGGAAACGAATCTTGTTCTTACTAGTCCATGGACACACATTACTTGCAGTAAACTAAGGTTTTAGATAGGCATGATTCCGGTTGATTTGGTTGTTATTATTTTAGAAGTTTTCTTCCTAAATACGTCTGATCTTATCCATTTGTGGTCTCAACAAATTAATGTTTTGTTTTTGCCATCTTCTTTGGCTGATAAATCTCAGATTGGCAACAGCTTCAGCACTACTCTCAGTTCCTAGACTTCAACAACTATCTCGTTTCATCCTAGCACGAGCCGAGGTTTTCTATCTCCGTTTATCTCTGTTTGCTATCTCCGTTTACCTTTTCCATGAGTCCTTGTTTAAACTGGTATCACATGGTTGATCAGGTTTTTTCTGCTTTATAAAATATACCTGAGCTTGTTTTGTCACTTACATTATTCCAGGCAGTGGCTAATTCTACATCAGCGATTTTCTTACGTGTTGTTGGAAGTGAATTAATTCAGAAGTACTTGGGAGATGGCCCAAAATTAGTTAGGGAACTCTTCAGAGTTGCTGATGATATTTCCCCTTCAATTGTCTTCATTGATGAAATTGATGCAGTTTGTACTAAGAGGTAAGTTAGTGAAACTGTCAGGCCTTGGTAGAAATACATTTCGAATATTTCTCATTAATATTGCACCATGTACAAGTTACTGATTTTGTGAATGTTATTTAAATTTGTGGTTGTAACGTTTGGAATTGCTTCTGTTAAAGAAGATTGGAATTTTTTGTGCTTCTAAGAAAATATTATTATGCTTGTGGGTTGAATATTTGCTTCTTCAATTTTTTCTGGAATCTTGTTAATTTTTCTCTTTGTGAATGTTGTTCCATTTTCTGATTATTGCTTCCTTCTCCTATATTTGGTTTTCAAGTGTTACAATGTATTTGATGTATTTTGGAAGGTGCTACTGTAATGTATTTATTTAAAATGGCTTACCATTTACCATCAACGAGAATCTGAATAAGTGGAAATTGCATCAAAAAAAATATTAATGGTTCCTTTTTTTCCTATAATGAGCTTTTTTGCGGCCTTTGTATCAAAAAACGCCGCTACATATATGAGCTTTTGCGGCGTTTATATCCAAAAACGCCGCTATAGATATGACCATTTGCGGTGTTTATTCCAAAAATGCCGCTATAGATCTGACCTTTTGCGGCGTTTGTTCCAAAAACGCCGCTATAGATCTGACCTTTTGGCGGCGTTTCTTCCAAAAACGCTGCTATAGATCTGACATTTTGCGGCGTTTTTCCAGAAACGCCGCTATAGATATCGACCTTTTGCGACGTTTTTTTCTAGAAACACCGCGATAGGTCTTGACCTATTGTGGCGTTTGTTCCAAAAACGCCGCTAACTTTAGCGGCGCTGGTATGACCGGCGCTTCTTGCGGCATTTTTACTATCGCCTCAAGTGCTTTTAGCGGCGCTTAAAAAACGCCGCTATAGGACTAAAAAACGTCGCTAAAACTCTATTTTGTTGTAGTGGTTTTTTAACATTTCCGGTAAAATACCCAATAATAACAAAACCGATAGAAATAATAATGTTTCCAGTAATTTTTAACCGGTTTTGTTATTTAAATAATAAAAAAACCGGTAGCGCCTTTTTTTAACCGTATATTAATGTGCCGCAATTGATCATTTCTCGCTGGAGGGAGCTCAGGGTAAGTGCCCCTCTTGCCCATGCTCAGGGACGGGCTTGCATGTCATTGTCATGTTAAGTCATTAACGACGGAGTGACATAATTACATTTAAAAGTAAAAGTTAGTGCTAAAATTGACAAAATTAAAACGTTGACAATATAAACGAGTCACCGCTTAAAGATTTATGGTATTTGAAGTAGTTTACCCAATTTTTTATGCATTTTCTTTGTTCGTATTTCTTCCTCTATTTTTATAGTAGGATTTTCTGTATCGTTATGATAGTTTGACATTTCTTGTTACATTCATTAAAGTGTATCTCCTAATCAAGAAATATCGATAATCTTTCATATTTATATCTCCTTTTGTGACAGTTTATCGATGCATATGATACAATTAAGGAAAACCTGAATTATTATTAGAAACTTATTTCATTGCAATTATATGTATTTTGTACACATACGCACGTGGCCTAACTGCTACTATATATTAAGCACTCAAATGTCTAAAAATGGTACATGCTTAATCGTTGGGGTTAACATGTCAATTGAGTGCATTGGAGTTTAACAATTTAAATTTTAAAATTTTGGACTTTCTAATTTTAAATTATTTTTGATTTATTTCTCTTTAGTTATGAACATTTTTAAATTTAAATTTTTAAATTAGATTAAATTTAGGATTTAAGTCATCTAGATGTACTTCTGATGTGGTAGTGATGGAGACGCTTGTCTGGTATTATGATAATAATCTGGTTTTTTATTTTATTTTATAAGATATATTCTAAGTGAGGTTTGCATGTGGAGCCATCGGCCCATATCTTCAAATTGCAACTTCGTCAATGGTTCGAGACATTCGGCAGCAGAGATTCATCTGATCCAAAAACTAAAAAAAAAAATATATATATAATAAACACCCTTTAATCTTTATAATTATAAAATAAACAATTCAACTTACAATGATTGCATATCCTTTAATCTAGTCTGTGTATTTTAATTTAATAGTTTTGTTATTATTTTACTTTTTATTCTTTAAAATTTTAGTTTTAATTTTAGAAAATAATAGTTAATTTATTGAGTTAAAATCCGTTTATTAATCCCCGTATTTTGAGTATGTAGTAGATTTAGTTATTATTCTTCGAGTTGATATATTTAATTTCATGTAATTGATCATGTTGTTTTAGTATTATTTTGGGTTAGAACTAAAATTCTTAAAGTCCAAGGATTGAACCTGGTTGAATTAGAGTATATATAGCAAACATGCAATTTATACATCATAGAAGGATTGATAGCGAATTTTCGCATAGTTTTATTCACTTTCCTTATTCAAAAACATGAAGATACTTTTTACTATATAATTTACATCCAATTTTCAAATTAATTTGAAAATCCTTCACGTTTGTTTTCAAGGAGTAAATCAATCAGTTGTTTTTAAACATACGGTAGGAACGATTGTTAAGTTTTTTTTTGGCTAGGTGGGAGCGATCCAATTTAATTTAAAAGATTGGGTTTGAAAAAATAAATTTAGAGTTACCGTTGATTTTTTGAGTGAGGTAGATCGAATACATAAAAATATATTTTAAAATGATTTGAAACTTCGAAATTTGAATATACATTTAAATTATGATCTTATTAATTTGAAGAATAAGCATATATCGTAATTCTATCAGTCATATCTTATCAATTCCCCATATTGAAATAACATTGCCATGAAATTTATTAAATCAAATAGATTATGACAAGTTAAGCAAATGAGATGAATGCATAAAATAATACATTTACTATTTATATTACAAAATAAAATCATTTAAAAAATTGAATGCTTTAGTGAAGATATCAGTTTGTTGATCTATCGTTTAAACATGTTTTATAACTATATGTTCTGCCCATATCTTCTCCCGAATGAAATGACAGTCAATTTCAATGTGCTTCGTTTGTTCATGTAATACGGGATTAGCAGATTTTTGCAAAGTTGATTTGTTGTCACTATATAAGGTAGTTGGCCCTGCTTCTGAAATATGCAGTTCAGCAAGAAGACCTTGTAACCGGACCACCTCTGTTGTAGCTGCAGCCATACTCCGATACTCCACTTCTGCCGTCGAACGAGCTATAGTTGATTGGTTCTTCGATTTCCACGATATCAATGAATCACCAAGTTTAACACAAAAATCGATAACAGATCTCCAACTCATCGGACAAATAGCCCAATCAGCATCACAAAAAATAGTGAACTTAGTATCACCCGAGGCCTTCAATAGAATAACTTGGCCTGGACTACCTTTAATATATCGAACCACCTCATAGCAGCCTCCCAATGCGATTGATTTGACTTGTGAATAAACTGACTTAGATGTTGAACGGCATAAGAGATATCGATTCACAGAAGAAGTCACGACAGCACCCCAAGCTGCCAACCAGGCTCCCCTAGACCCTTGTCAGCATCCATGCAATCGAAGAAAAAAAAGAAATTAGAAATACGATTTTTCATATTATTTTACGTTTTAAACATTGTAACCGTGTTATAAAAAACTCTTGTAACATGGGTTAGCTATTTTTTGAGCAACCCAATAATCTGAGAAAATAAAAAAATAGAATACCAAAGTCTTCAATGTATTTTTTTTTTTACCTTTTTGAGTTTGCATGATTCAACGAGCTTCTCACCGAAGTTGGAGAATATCAGGGAGAGGAGTTGTTACACCTCCTTCCTGTATCTGTCACCAAACATGAGTTATAAATGTCACATGAAACTTTCCTTATTGAAAATTGGTAAAAAAATTATATCTTTTAAACTATTTTTGCTAACCAATAAATCATAATTCATTTAATCGCACAAAACATCTTTCTAATTGTTTGACATTTAAACTAAGTCCATTTTTAGGCAGCAATCTAGCAGTTAATAACTACAAAATATAACCAGTATAATTGCCTAAAATTGCTTAAACTAAAATTCATTTGAGTACTGATTTAAGCAAGTTTTACCAAATTGTTAACCTACAGTCATTTTTTTTAATAACTAAACATACATTAATAAGACTATTTATCCAACACTCTAACCAATATCTATCATTGCTAGTTGAAACTAGCTCATAACTTACTTCAAACTATGTCTGAGCAAAATTTATATCGAATAATATATACGTGCCAAATAGTAAAAACCAAATAAGTCATATGGAATTCATTACTGATACTGTAGACTTGCTTCTAGATAGATAAGATGTCAAGTGCTCCTTACTTTGATCTTTGCTCTTTGCCTACGGGTGAAAACCATCACACGCTAAATATACACTTAGTGAGACATAATCAATAATATAAAGTAAAACATATTGATGATATAAAATAAATCATATGATGGAAATACATAACATATCATATGATAATATATAAGCATATAAAATGAACTTATATCAAAGTCATTTTCAATTCAAAGATACCTGAAATCATCAAGTTAAATATAAAACATTTTATGCTAAATCAATTATAATAAATGAAAAGTTAACTTTCACACTTATATGTCATAACCTGTATTTTTCAAAATTTATTTATGTCATAGCTCAAGGTTTCGGGTCAATCTTTAGGTTTTTTAAGTTTTATTACAAAATTCTTTTTCTTAAAATATAATTGAGTTTGAGATGCAGAAATAGTTAAGTGTCAGTATTTGACTTAGTTTGTATCTTCATATTAGTTTTGAATGAGAACTATTTATTTGACACTTTATTCAAAATTTATTTTAAAAAAAGTTAATTATAGTATTCGTCTAAATAATGTGAATTAAAGTTATCACATAAATTAAAATTTTTTGTTTGAGTAATTTTATTTTATAATTCTTCATATCAAATAATATTTTGAAATAATTTAGAAGTTATTGGATTAGATATAGAGATAGTCTTTTAATTGAGGAAATATTATATTGAACTATTAAACTATTATTAAAGATCAGTTAACTAGTAGTATAATATAAAATGAGAATAAAATATACATCATTCTACTATTTATCAATTTGCTATAAATAGATAATAAATAAATAAATTACATGTTTACTTAGACTCAATTGTCGGGTTAAAATCGGATCAAAATTTGATTTGGATTAGATATAAGTAAATTAAATTCAAGTTGCGTTCGGTTTAAATTACTGTAGGTTCGAATTTTATCAGTTTGGGTTATTTTCGGTTTGGGTTGAGATTGGTTCTATTTGCTTGTCAAATTAAAATTAAAATTCATTTAAGTTCAATTCAATTTATTTTGGATGTTGGATAAATTTTGAGTTATCATATTTATAATTATATCGGGTATCGGATAGGATAAATTAATTTGGTGATTTTCCTGATATATCACCCGGTGACCGATAATATTACCAATCTAACACCGGTCAGACTATATTTCTCGATCTAACACCCTTAGCAGTAAAACGCGCCCCATGCACCGCACTATACGATGATTTGGCGCCACGTGGGGTATAGCGCGCCCCCTGCACCCGCGCTATACGGTGAGCTGGCGCCACGTGGGTATAGCACGGCCCCTATAGCGCGCTATACATGTATATCTGACACGTGGGGTATAGCGCGGTGCAGGGGGCGCGCTATACCCATAATTACCGACCCCTCCCGTCAACATCCTCCCTATAAATACCCCATCCTCAATTACTTTTATCACATCAAATTCTCTCAAATTCTCTAAATTTCTCTCAAATACTCTCTTTTTAAGGTATATTTTATAATATTTTTACTATTATGTTTTTACTTTATTTAATATTTTACTAATATAATTCTTTTGCAGATATATAATGGAAGGCAGTCTACTTCGCTCGGATAGAAATCATATATCTCTACACTTTGCTGATACGGTAACATTTTAACGTTTTAATTTAATTTAAATTATTAGTAATATTTAGTTATTTATTTAATGCATGATTATTATATTAATAATTAAATATCTCGACACTTTACTGATACGGTAACATTTTAACGTTTTAATTTAATTTAAATTATTATTAATAATTAGTTGATTCATTTAATGCATGATTATTAGATTAAGAATTAATTTTTGTAATTATTTATTTTTAGGAGAAGGATCGTGTATTAGATCATTTTATTAGGAATCTTAAGTTAGTGATACCCAGCCGTGTCTTGCCGTATTTAGTAGAGGCTGGATTCGATTACATAGGTAGATATCAGGGTCACTGTAAGATAGAGCCAGACCTGATTTCTGCCTTAGTAGAGCGGTGGAGGCCAAAGACCCACACATTCCATCTTCCGTGTGGAGAGTGCACGATCACGCTTGAGGATGTTTCTATGCACCTGAGGCTTCCGGTGGATGGAGATGTGATATCGGAGATAGCTTCTGGTTCTTGGACTGCTTTGTGTCGGGATAGTCTAGGACGTGTCCCGGGAAATTTTATCGGAGGTAGGATACCGTTAAATTGGTTAGATGCCAATTTTCGGGAGTTGAGCGCAGACGCCTCTGAGGATGAGGTTAAGATGTATGCACGGACATGCATATTGCAGCTGATAGGAGGGTTGCTAATGCCGGGCAAATCGCGCAACCTATTCACTGTATGTGGTTGCGACATCTTAGCAACTTTTGTCTCGCCGGATCATTCAGTTGGGGCTCGGCAGTTTTGGTTTTGCTGTACAGAGAGATGTGTGGAACCACTGACTACAGGCGTAATGCTATCGGTGGATGTATCCTGCTGCTGCAGTCTTGGGTATGGTATCGATTGCCCTTTTTATATCCCGTTGTGAAGAACCCATTCGTATTTTCACTACTTCTAAGGTAATTATAAAACTGATTTTGTATATTAATAATTTTATATAGCGTATAACAAATTTTTTTCCTTGAATAGGTGGTCTACTGATAGGAAAAATCATCAGGAGCTACCTGATAATTTAGAAAAGATTAGGGTGCTAATCGATCAGAAGACTGGCACACATGTATGAATTTTAATGTTTAAAAATCGATTTTAGATTATAATTATATAATTAGATTATTATTTTGATAAAAATTATATATTATTTGTTTTAGTTTGAATGGGTGCCATATTCTACTGATGATGTGAGGGAGGTGATCCCACCTGAGTTGAGGGGTCCATTAGATGTTTGGATGGCGATGGTCCCTCTGATATGTTATGCGACCGTCGAGTAGCACTCCACTGATCGCGTGCTCCGGCAGTTTGGTTGTTTTCAATCAATTCCGGAAGCACCTCGCAATATGGACGAGTTGCATAGCTTAGACAGACGCGGCAAGACAGACACAAATTGGCTGGTTAGGCATCATGGGTGGGTCGTGTTGTGGGAGGATCGACATCGGCACCTTCCCCGTAGAAAGCCCATTTTTTGATGACCTCTTAATGTATGCTAAGGATTATTATGAGTGGTTCAACAGTAACGGGAAACCGTTTCTACTTCCCGAGGATGCACGAGGGCAGACCTTTCCACGACGTCGATAGAGACGTTCACTGACACAACACCATCGTCCCCCGACTCGTGGACGGAGAACAGGTACATCCGGTTCATCCTCAGCTGCACCAGCAGGACCTTCCCAACAGCCACCGCAGCCATATATGATGTTGCCATCACCTTTCCATTACCAGATGGTTGCGTCGATGGCATCTCCATATTAAGGTCAAAGGGATTTGCAGATGAATGCCTTCCCCTTGAACTGGACGCGATGTTGCCATACGGATTGTTCGTGAACCTACCTCGGTACATATCGTAAGGAGTTGCGGATGAATGTCTCCCCATTATGGCAATAAAATCATTACACATTACTGTCGTCGGGCTGTCAACTTGATCAACTTGTTCAGTCAGCCCATAGTGGGAGCTTAATGATTGACCCCGAACAGCACGCACTTGAACAAAATGTGCATACATCTCAATAGCGGCGTCTGAATAATTACTTTGAGCTTCAACCATCATTTCAACATCATCATTGTTTGAAAGTTCAAACGATGTATAAGTTAATGGCAACAATGATGTTGGAAATCTATACTGCAACGACGACATTCTTCTACTACTTTCAACATGAATCTTCCTCGAAATCTTCGTTATCAGCTCCTCAAGAGTTATGTTTCTCTTGAATGATATTTTAACACGCTCATTTAATACGAAAACAACACCGTTTTCATCTTCTCGAATTTCACCATCATAATAAACAATAACTGAAAGTCACGCCATTATTTGAGTTTAAAAGTGCGACACTATTAAATCTGCAAAAAAAATAAATGAAACAAACCTGATTTAATAAATTATATATGAACGAACATATAACACAATAAAATTTTTACACATCAACGTAAATAAATTAAATAATTTAATTTAATATTATTACCTGCACCGCAAAACTATTTCGACGTATGCTCCCGCTTTCCAATTTTACAAACACAAAAATTAATTGAAAATAATTAGTATAATATTTTTTTTCAAATAATCATAATAAACAATAAATATAATAAAAAATTATAACAAAATTACCTTATAACGAAAAATCGCACGAACTTCTAAATAAAATATGAGAAGATTGCCAGAATTATTGACTCGTTCACGAAATTATTGTATTAATTTATAAGTTGAGAGGAGAGATGTGAGAAATTAACCGGCGGAGAATGGTATTTATAGCGAAGAAAGTTATACAAAACGCGGTACCTGATCCGCGCTATATAAAATTATGTTTAAAGGTATGTCGCGGTACCTGCCCCGCGCTATATAAAATTATGTCAGGAGTAAAGGTATAGCGCAGTACCTGATCCGCGCTATACCCCTACGTGGCGTATAGCGCGCTACAGGGGCCGCACTATACCCACGTGGCGCCAGCTCACCGTATAGCGCGGTGCAGGGGACGCGCTATATCTCACGTGGCACCAAATCATCATATAGTAGCGCGGTACAAGGGGCGCGCTTTACTGCTAAGGGTGTTAGATCAGGAAATATAATCTAACTGATGTTAAATCGATAATATTACCGATCACCGATGATATATCGAGAAAATCGTCAATTAATTTGGATAATCAGATACCATCTCAATATTATAATTAAAATAATTGGAAAATTAAAGTAATGTTGAAAGGACACGTGACATTAACATAATCCAGAGGAGTTTGTCTGTATGGAGTTATTACAAAGATCAAGCTCTGGTTAGGACAATAAAATTGTACACAACTACACACTTCTCTTCCTTTATAGTAATTTGCATTTATATACCTAAGCTCCTTAACTACACTACGTGTCTTCACTCACTTTAGAATCGCGAGTGAGCACACAGCTAACAAAAACAAAAAAGGTGCTGATTTTTATAGAATTGGAAATATCAAACTATTTTCCTTTTAATTCAATTAAACGATAATATTTTTTTTCTACAAAATAAATGCTTAATTAATATATTTATAGACTGGAAAATAAATATGCATCAAATAAAATCATACTCTCACTCACTTGCTCACACTTTGAAGAAACAATCAAAGCCTCTCGCTTCACCCATTCTTCCTTTTCCTTTCACTCTCAAACTCTGCAAAAGACAGAGAGGGAGAGAGCTCAAGGCATGGCAGTTTTATTCTTTATTTCCCATATTGCCCCTCTCACATTCTTTTATTTCCTCCTCCTGTCCTCCGCCTCCGCCTCCTTCTCCTCACCCACTGCCGATACTGATCTTAATATAACATCCATTCTCTCATCTTTCCAGAACTTAACCTCCTTTTCCTCCCTACTCAGCTCCACTTCCGTCGCCTCTGACCTCACGCGCCGCCAAGACCCCATCACTCTACTCGCCGTCCCAAACCCCTACCTCTCCATTCCTCCTTCCTCCGACCTCACTCGCCGCTTCCCATCGTCCTCACTCGGTGACATCCTCCGCTACCACATCCTCCTACAATACTTCTCCTGGACCGATCTCCTCCAGATCCCGCCCTCCGGCGTCCTCGTGACCACCCTCCTACAAACAACCGGCCGTGCCCCTGCCAACTTCGGCGCCGTCAACATCTCGCGTAACCCGTTAACCAACGCCATTACAATCCAATCACGCTCCCCTGACTCCGCTTCAAACGCCACCGTTTTGTCCCTAATCAAAACGCTGCCGTACAACATCACGATCCTCGCGGTTAATTCCCTCCTCGTCCCGTACGACTTCAACTTAATGGCTTCCGAAACCCGCCCTCCCCTCGGCCTCAACATTACCAAAGCCTTGATCGACGGCCACAATTTCAACGTCGCAGCGGCAATGTTAGCCGCTTCCGGCGTCGTCGATGAATTCGAAGCCGACGAAGGCGGTGCTGGCATCACACTCTTCGTCCCCACCGACGGTGCTTTCGGCGATCTGCCGGGAAGCGTGAGATTGCAGTCACTTCCGGCTGATAAGAAATCAGTGGTTCTAAAATTCCACGTTCTCCATTCTTATTACCCGTTGGGGTCGCTGGAGTCGATCGTGAACCCGGTTCAACCCACACTAGCGACTGAGGATAACGGCGCCGGGAGCTTCACTCTCAACATTTCTCGAGTCAACGGATCCGTTGCGATCGATACGGGAATCGTTCAAGCGTCTGTTACCCAAACGGTTTTTGACCAAAATCCCGTTGCCATTTTCGGGGTTTCCAAGGTTTTGTTGCCCAGAGAGATTTTTGGGAAAGATTCAGCAGCGGTAATCCCGAAGCCGGGGATAACTGTTCAGCCGCCGGAATTATCCCCGCCGCCGGAGAATTCAGCTTGGTTGATTAATCCAGCATCATCTCCGCAGGGGTTTCATGAGGGTATGAATTCTGACGGTCAGATATTGCGAGCGCAAAGCTGCATTGTTGTTCTCTATTGTATAGTATTGTATCTATTGGCATGAGCTTTTTTTTTTTAACTTTTGACTCCAAATTACTGGGGTTTTTTTTGGATATTTGTTACATTTTCCTTTACACAGTGAGATGAATTATTATTGGCTGCAAAAGAAGCCATTTTCTTTTGAATTTCCGGAGGAAGATGCTAATGCCGTAATAATATTAAAAATGCACAAATTTTCTTGTATAAAATTGTAAAGCTGTTTTGATTTTGGATAATCAGTGGATTGGTGCAGCATAAGCTTCGTTTTATTTAGTTATATGCACATCTGGGTGTTTGAAATGCAATCTGATAGTAATTAAATTGGAGTTTGATTTTAGTTTGAGTTAAATTCTTAACATATGTAATAGAATTTCATTGAATCAAATTCGAATTTTGGTCTAATTCCAGTTCATATGTATAAACACCCAGCTTACCTTAGTTTAATGAATGATTATACATATAGAAAGAGAGTTAGGATCCACTTATCTAATATAAGATTCGTTTAATTTTATATAAATTAAAAAATTGTTAGATGAATGAAAATAAATGATTAAAACTTACGTTTTTTTCGTTTAATTTTAATCACTTGAGTGAAATTAATTTGGCAAAAAAAATTAATTCAAATATATCAACCAAAATTTATTATTTATCAAATATTGAAAATGATAAATTACGTAAGTTATCAATCACTTTAAGTGGCGAAAGGTTTATACTATTGAAATTTCAATTGATTTAGTTACGGTGTTGAATTTTGATTTTGACTTCGGTTATAATTTTGAATCGTTAAATTTTAATAACACGACGTTGTAGATGGATCTTTTTATCCCTAATGATGTGAACAAAACAACATTATTTTAGTACATCTATTGATGTTCAAAATGACGTTGGGGTATATCGATTTTGTCAATAAATTTTAAAAATATCCAATTTTAGGAGTTGAACTTTTTTTACCGTCAATGTAAGCCAATAATTACTTATCATCGGTCACCATTTACAGTAAGATCAATATCAAAATTATCAACGTTGACGAAGTCACTCTTTTTTTTCACATTGAATTGTTTTTTCATGAAATCACTAATTTTGGGCTATGTTGTTTGTCTTTTCGAAATAATGTTTTTCACTATTTGGATATTTTAACGAACATCCAAATCCTCAAAACCTGAGAAAGTCTCTTAAACCCTAAAAATAGCAAATTTTTTCTTTGATTACATCGATTTTGAGTTGGTTTCATGAAAATTTAATCCGATGAGAAAAAAGATGAGTGAAATGTGAACATTTTGATGAGTGGAATATGAACATTTTGATATCGATATTGTTGTGAATGGTGACATGTGACTGTCGAAAAAGTTCAATGCCAAAAAATGAACCGTTTAAAAGTTTAGTGACAAAATCGATACACCCTTAAATTCCAATGTCTAAAACAACACATTTTAGCACCAATAATTGTACTAAAACAATATTATTTTTTTATGTCGTCAGATCATTTTAATTTTAATAATCCAATAATATAATTGAAGTTAAAAATAAAAATTTAGTGCTATAATTAAAAGTTCAATGATATAAATAATACACCGTCTAAAGTTTAATTATATCTTGTGTAGTTTAACCATTAAGGTTTTATATTTAAAGATACTTTAGTAATGTCTTTTTGTATATTTTAATAAAAGGACTTAAATTAAATTTGTAAAAATAACAAACTTTTTAATTGATAAGTAATAATTCAAATTTAGTAAGAATGTGGGTCCAACCGGGCCTTATACAGAGAGAGGTGTAGGCATGGGAATGGGATATTTTAATTAATGAATATATAAGTCTTTGCATAGCTGTAAGGGCAAAGAGCCAAAGAGGAAGTGGATGACAGAATGCAGGCATATGGTGGGTCTGGTCCCATCATTTTTCAACGGTTAAGATGGAGGCTGAGTTTAAGAGAATGCGTGTTAGGCGCTGGATAAGGTAGAGGGAATCATCATCCACTTGAGTTTTGATTAGTAATCGGTTCCACAATGTAAAAATTAGGAATGCGGTGCTCCAACTTGTCTCGTCTTCCTAACAAAGGGAACCCCACCACATAGTATTTTTTTTTGTAATTTTTAATAAAGCCATTTCCTTTTGTTTTCTCTTTAATCATCCAAAGTCTAGAAAATAATGTTGATTTCGATGAGTTTGAGGGTGGAAAACTCACATAAAAGTGCCCTTTTATCCAATAACTCATTTGGTTGATGGCAAGGAGAACTGTACTTCTAGCACTACACTAATTCAAAGTTGTTTTTAGGGTAATACAAACTGTTAAACTAGAGTAGTTACTATATAAAACTTTGAGTATAGATGTTCTGTAAAAAAAATCTTTTCTTTTGACGTTGCGAACATGCCATTTGGATCGGGTCATTTCGAGTCTAGATTATATTCAATTTAGTTTTGTTCATGATGATTCAGATCTAGTCCGGGTGTACGATAAATTGGATCAGGTCGGGTATTAGGTCGGGCTAATTTTTTGGTCGGATAATTATCGGATCGGTTGATTTTTAGGTCAGGTCAAGATTGGATATGTTGATTTTTAGGTCGGGTCAAGATTGGATATGTTGATTTTCGAGTCGGGTTAATACTAAATAAGTTGATTTTCGATTTAACTCAACCTTTAGAACATGTCTATTCAAGTTGAATTGATTATGAGTCTAATCGCGTATATATATAGTATTATTGATATATTCTTATAAAAATATGTCTTCTTGTTTGTTAATCTTATCATTTAGGCCTAATTTCAATTTATCAATCATTCAATATTTTGAATTAAACAATCATTTTTAGAGATGATAAATCGATAATTTGACACAAATGCGATTATATAATTTGTGTTCGAATTTGTTATCAATATTTTATATCGATCTTGTATGAAAATTTATAATGATAACTATTTGATAAAGAAATAAATTTTTTATTAAAAATTTTATTTCTAATTATAAATTTAATATTTTTATTAAATTTTAAAAAAATAATACATAACTTTATTTGTTAAGTTTTAGTCGTAACATAACTAAACTTTATATTATTTTTATTATAAATCTAATATTATTTCCTTTGTTTTAGTTGTTTTCTATTATTTTTATTATAAATCTAATATTTTTATTACAAGTAAGATAAGTAAACTTTATTTATTATTATTTTCAATCTTACAATTAGATTTTTACTTTTATATTCCTCTTATGTAATAACATAAGTAAACTTTTTTATTATTTTTATTATAAATCTAATATTTTTAATAAATTATCAATTTTATTTAAATTAATTTATTATTCGGTTCAAATTAATTTATATTCGGGTTTCTTTTAGTTCGGGTTAAATTTAGTTCGGTTTATTTTCAGATCAGGTTAAATTCAGTTTGCTTTCGGTTTGGGTTAATTTCAATTCGGGTTGCTCTGGGTTTAGCTAAATTTTGTATTGGGTATGGTTCGGGTTGGGTATGGGTTGGGTATCAAATCAATATCATGTTCAGGTTAATATCAAGTATTGAGTATGGTAAATCAGTTCGAGTAATTGAATTCGGGTCAAGTTTGCCAAGTCTACTGTAAAGTATACACTCTGAAACTACGAATAGAAGAATTTGTCATGATCAAATCACCAGTTTATAGGGAATGAGTTTACTGCTAGTTAGATCTCTGCCTGCGTATACAAATATTGATAATGGCTCTGACCTGTATATAGAATATAGGTTTTGGTACTGGAATGAATAGAAGAAGAGTAACTGACGTAGTCTCACGAACCCATAAGAAGTGACCCAGCCTCCCACTAATCCGAAGAATGAGGAAGTATGGGCCCTCCCAATTCGAAGTTTTTTCCTCGAAGTTTCAACCTTGTTGACTATGACAACAGTCGCAACTACAACGGGTGGTACACTTTGCCTTTCGACTCGCATGAAAGGTGTAACGATATGGGTATTATCTTAGAGAGAGACTCGGTGAAATAGACATGTCTGAGAAGATACAGACTACCCGCACCTAGATAGGTAAATCCCCCAGGCGGTGTACTTTTTTTAAAACAAGACCCTTAGTAATGTGATAAAAGGAGTTCTAATTAATTTGAATTTTATTGAAATTTTATAAATCGAAATTAAAATTGAGCTAAATGAAGCGAAATTGACTGAAGGATAGAAATACAATTATTAATGAGACTCATGAACAATATGAACTCGAAGTTTCTTTCGTAGCCCCAAAACTTCTTCGTTATAGCTCTATTCTCGAATAAAACCTACTTTAGTAGAAATTTCACGATTTCGAAACATATTGAAACCCTGGCGTTAGCGAGCTTCTATTTTCTTCGTAAAGTAACTGTTGAGACTCGTACTAATTATCTGAACCCAAACAACTAGACTTTACCTACTCACTTGAATTCTCAAAACTTCTGAAACTCTATTTTGCATGACATAGAACTCCTTGTCATCTCGACTAAAATGTTATTTTATAATTTTATTTAAATTAATTACATATTTTTATTAGAAAATATCATTTTTCATATTAAATGAATACATTTTTTTTAATATTATGAGATGATTATAATATAGTATTTGTTCAAAAAAAATTCTTAATCCATTGATAACTCACATATCTTGTAGACACATATGCTCCAATCCAAGATCTCTAGAGTAGAATATTTATTTTTATCACTTATAATATGTTAATATATAGTGATACTCGTTCAACTTATCTCTTAATCCTATAAATAAAGGTTCAATCTCTATGTGTCACAATTGAATGTATTTCATAACCTCGTTTCTCTCTTCGGAGCAAAAGGAATTAATCACTCCAGCGTATACAATGGTTTCGAGTCACTTGTCTTACACTGTGCATTGATTGACGTTTGCGCAAATTTTAGATTTATATATCTATTGGTTAATTTGATTTTAATTCTTCCACTGAACTAAGATCTGATATAATTTGGTTTTATATTTTTTAAAGAATTTGCTTTTAGTATTGATGTGATTAAGCTATAGGCCCAAAGTAACTAAGAGGCAAAGAAGATCTGCCCCCTTTTGGGTCTTTCTCTTTATATGGTCCAATCATGGTAGAGATATTCAACCCAT